AATTTATTAGCTATCTTTTTCCAGCTCATAAACATTAGCCGTTTTTATGGATTTTTCCCGTTACTGCAAACGGTTGTTGACTTTATATTAATTTAGGAATTAAAAAACATGGTTCTCCAAATTTTTTTTTTCAAATGTTTATTTCGTACAGTAACTGAGTCATCTATTTCCCAAGTGGACTTGTTTCGAGTTTTTCAGATTTTTTATCAATTTTCTTCTTCTGGAATTTGCGTTTAGCACGTTTCGTCATCTACAATAATGTCAAACTGCAGAACCATCACAAAAAGTCGTCAGGCGAGTTTAAAACGTTGTCTCCTAAATTTGCGATCCTTAGTCACTTTAATCATTTCTGTTACATGACACTACAACAACAACAACACACGTTTAGACGGCATTTTCCCCGAGATCGGGGGTTGCCGTTTGCTACCTATGATGAAACCGAAATACCCCTCGACGCCATTCACTGAGGGCCATTGTCACTTCTGTCATCATAAGTAATTTATTTGGCTAATTTTTACGCAGGACGCCCTTCCTTACGCAACCACAGTTATAAGCGGTGGGCCTAGCCTTTGATGATCCAACATCACTCACAAGGCAGTGAAGGTCAGTTTAATGTCATAACCAGGACGTTGTTACATGACACTATTTTTTGGAAAAAACTTGACATATTTTTCATTACCGTGATTTGATTCAAACGCTCCAAACATTTTAATGCGTAGCTTAAAGCCTCCAGAATATTCCGTCTGCTATTTCACCAAGGTTTGTCAAAAAATAAAAGTGGAAGTTTTATTAATTGTGCAATTGTGCATAATGATTTAATAAAAGCTACTACCATCATCCTCAATGAAAGCAAACATCATGAACTCAAAAATTTTACAACGAAATTAACAACTTATTTATTTTCATTTATAATTTCCTCAACTTATAGATCTCAAGAGCAACTTTTAACCAGATTTATCGAGCACATGAAATCTATAATTAACTTTGATTTGACCCCCCTTCTATTGTTTATGGTTATTTCAATGCCCTAGGTCAATATTCTGTCATCGATTAATAATTTTCAGCATCTATCGAATTTCTTGAGCTCACAACACACCTTGGATCTCTTCTTTTCGCATAGCAGTCGTAACGCCATCAGAAACCTAACTGTTAGCGATTGTTCCTTTTCCGATTACAGCATCATCACCTTCAACGCATCACGGGGCGGACCACTGCTACACATTTGTGTTTCTAACGTAGTCGTCAATGTAATGTGTCGGCTTTTGAACATGATGTCATTTGTATTTGCAATGACCTGATGCTAAGTGATCTAGATGTTGACGCCTTTGTATTGGCTGTATTCAAGTCGATTGACAATCTACTCGACAAACAGGCAACAACAAAACATTCGTCATTTTGACGTGGCCTTAATTCAAATTGTTGACTTTTGACTGCAGCTATTAAAGCAAAAAGAAATGGTTAGTTATGGTAGCACCTAATAACAGCACAAAGGTGACCATGATTGCGTATTGCTACATATAAAAAAACACGAAAAATCTGAGAGTTAAAAAATTTTTTCTGGATAATAATAAAATAAGTTTCCAATCCTTAACACTTTTTGGAGTCGGAAGACATGTATACAACTACGACTTCTTGGTTATTATGAAGAAAATATCCATAACATTTTATAAGAATAATAAAAAAGGTTATTTATATTTTGAAATAAACAAATATGACAGACGAATTGGATTATTTTAAATGAACTAACCGTTCTAAATAGCACTGCTTATTTTCAAATGTACCATCATTTTTACAAGATGGTGAAAATCCATACTTTTCAGCTGTCATTTTTTGCAGCCAACAATTAGATAGCATTTCTGGTTCCTCCCAAGGTAAATTGTCTGTTTTAGTTTAGATGAGAAAAATGTAGAACGATATGCTACAAATGATAGATAACATGTACAATAGTTAAAATATATTAGATATAGACCTGATAATTTTAAAGGGAAAAAGTCAAACATTGATAATAAAAGCGTTGAAACAACGTTGAAAAAATTGAACACGATTAAAGAAACAGTGAGTAGTAGTAAAAAGCCTAATTGAGAAAAATCAGAATATCTAGTAACAAATTTCTAAATCCATTTTTGTCCCATTTTATGGCACACAAATTTAATAAACCTCAAAAATATAACAGATGTCATAAATACGATTCCCACAAATAGACCGTCTTTCAAACTAATATATATGTAGAAGTAGATTTCAATCAATCAGTTTGTTAAGCGCTGTCTACGCGATGTTCAACAGCGCTCGTCAGTAAATTTTGCAAAAAAATGGGCCTTGAGATCCGCTCTGAACTTTGTAAGTGATGGAGAAGTAGTCAGAGAAGGAAGTACAGAGTTCCAGAGAAAAGGGCCAGAAAAAGTAAACGCAGATTTAGCAAAAGAGTGTTTAACACGAGTTAAGAAGAATTTATTCAGCTATAAACTAACAAAAATGAAATTAAAATGAAACAAATTGACAAGTAGAATAAAATAGGAGTTACAAATAAAATAAAATATCAAGTAGAGTATTAATTTAGTCTACGAAACTCTTCATTCAAAAAGAATGGGTACAACTAGAGTTAATTAGTTTCAAAATTGATTCAAGTCACATTTCTATCGCAGTAAATAGCGTACGACGACGATATTGCAGATTTAATGAGGCTATTGCAGAAATGATCAGACCAAATAATGTTTACAAGAGATAAATTAAATATTTTAAATAAACCTAGAGTTGAGATTTCGAATGTATTTATTTTTATTTTTAAATGTTTAAAATGGTCAATCAATTTATTTTGCAAGTTACCAGAGTATTTAGATAGTTTAAATTTTTTAGAATTTAGATAGTTAGTCTCGTGACAGACTGTTAATTTCAGTATTTCAATTGTTTCGTCTCGTAGAAAAGCGATATCTGGTCGCATTGATTTGAATAAGCGAGATCGTGGTTGAAATTCATCTGTCACTAGATCAGGAAAAATGGAGACTTTTGAGTTGGCGCATGATTTCATTTTTTCGAGAACTATTGTTAGAATTTTGTTGTGTCTTGTTGTGTACTGCTTTAAAGCCGATGTTAAGCCGCAGTTGGAGAGTACATGTTTGTTAGTTTGTTGATTGCTGCATAGTGAACACTGGGCAGTGGAAGACTTTCCCCATCTGGACAAATTTGCATTTGTCGGCAGTTGCTGTATCAAACTTTCTGACAAATCTAAACAGGACCTTTGGAAGGCTGGCAATGTATCGCGACCAGTGAGCAATCCGAGCCACAGGGATATAACTACCAATTGCCTTGATTAATGTACCCTGACAACGGAGTGAAATCAGCCGTTCAAATTCGGCATTTTGCATCAGCGCTTTGAGCGTCGGTTTGATGTTGCTCGAATCTGGGAGCTGGTTGTTAATTTTTATGTAGTTGTTGAACGATTCGGTCCACAAAAACTTCAGTTTGTCACTGCCGTTTGTTTTTAGATAATTGCGAAGTTTGATCCGCAAAGATTCGACATAATGTTTGAGAGACCTAATGTTCCAACCTTTTAGTTTGAAGGGAAGCAAAAAACACTCGGCCACACAGCTGCCAATTAGCAATGATAGCCATAATCTCACGTCTTCAACAATGAGTGAGTCAAGGCAGTTGCCTATCCAAGTCAAGGAAAAGTCATATATTCGCAGCTGAAAAGCCAATTACAAGGCACATACCTTCGTAAAATTTGTAGTTTCCAGTCTGGCGTCTTGTTCAGACTGCTTATCAGACAACAGATTTTTCAATTTACCAAGCCACTGGTCTTTGGCCTTACTGTTGTTGCCTTCAAAAGCGTAGATCCTGCCCTGGTAAACAAAATGCCCTCCTATGTCAACCTGAGGAATCGGCTTGTCATCGATGTCAGCATCGAAAAAAATTGCTCATATTCACCATTTTTTCCTTAGCCCGAATGTTGAGCATTTGTCGAGTCTTAGTTTCAAGCCGGTTGCGTTGCACCAAGCCCGGTTTACATCGATAAGCCTCAGTGTACTTTCAATGTTGTTGGCGATGATTGCTGTGTCGTCAGCAAATTGCAGCCACGCTCTTGTTTTAAGGCTCGCTGTTGGGCCCCATATGTTGTAGACCGTTTTATTTTTATTAAAAAAAAAATTTTTTTTTTCAAACCGGATTTGCATATGAGTTTATTTTGTGTAATTTGATGATATAAAGACAAACACCAAAAATCAATAAAATCAAACAATGATGAATTTGTTCAGAAAATTCAGTTTTTTAAAGCATTTTTTGTTAAATTAATAAAAAATAATTATTTTTAATTTATTATGAATATTTATATATTGTTTTATTATAAAGTAATGTCTGAATCAGTATAGTTCTTTTTCTAAGGTTTATTCATTAATTTCCTGTGATGCTCAATCACCTTATACATCAACTGGCGCTGATTTTCATCATGAGTAAGTGCTGTATTATAATCAGATGCCAATTTAACCGCTCGCTCAGCACAATCATTAACTACCCGTACTGCAGTCACTATCTCTTTTGCATTATTGTAATTCTCTAGTTGTGGCCATACTTCTGGATCAAAGCAAAGAAAATTTTAACTCAGTTTTAATGTAGAAAATAAATTTAAAGACTGTTTTGTCACAAAATCTGACAAAATCTTGGATTTGAAAGAACTTATGTGTTTTGGATCTACTTTTCTAACATCATTTTTTTGCTGGTTTATGTAATGCTTTAAGCATAAGCCTTTTCTCATCAACATTAACCAAATCAGAAACAAATGTCATTCCAACAAGATCTTCGCTTAGATACCAAAAATTCCTTTTAATTTTTTTCATTGCTTCTTTTCCAACTTTGCAATCAACTTTTTCAAATAATTTCTGAGTTTGAAGAAGACATAAATCATTGTAAAGAGCACTACAGCTGTTTGCTGCACAAAACCATGCCTTTACATATACAGCTACAGTAAAGAGAAAAAGTCTCTTTAATGCTTGTAGCTCATGTGCAGTTTACTTCAGTAGCTCACGAAAGCAAAAAATCTTCAAACAATAAATTCCCTTGGTCATACAGCGAGCCCTGTGATAAGCTCCTGGAGGTGTGACTTGTACAGCAGTAGGATCTGAAACTCCAAGAGTTATGAGAAAAAGCCTAATCAATTGCAAGTAGCCATGTCGAGGTTGAGTATTTTGCAGTTGGTCTTGAAGAAAATCAATCAAAGCTACACGATTTTGCTTTAGCCACAAATTATCATCATTAGTCAAAGAACAACCAGTTGTTACCTTGTCAATCGATGCATATTTTAACTGATTAATTGATGGCCATTAATCTTTAAATCTACTAAAAATAGCAATTTGAGGGCCAAATGAAGTGAAAAATAAATCAAATAAAGCTTTTCCAATAATTTTAAGAATATGATGCCTGCATGCTAAAAACAAGAGATGTTTATTAAAGGATTTCTGAATTATTGTTATATCACCAGTATGAATGCCAGTATTAGAACTTGTTGTGTCAAGACACAAACTAGCCAACCAATTTGACACGCCTTTCCAATTCTGAAGTAACTGAACTATTGTGGTTCCTATGTTTATGCCAGTACCGCCAACCGTTGGTATAGCTATCAGATTTTTTACATTTTTCCCTGATACCACAATTGGCAGGCGATCTATGTTTACACCATCAAAATCAGATAAAAGTTTTCCATCAAAGTGAGCCACAAGAGGTGTGTTTGGCAAAATGTGTTTTTGATAGTTTTTCCGATAGATTGTCGTATAGCTTTTCTAGATCCGTAAAGAGAGCTTGTTGACAAAGTGAGTTCATCAACGTTGATTCCAACTGCCTTTAATGCTAAAGCAACTATGTGCATTGTTTCCCTATAAACTGTTTTTGTACGATCTAGACTTGCCATGAACAGTGGGTCATCTACTTGACACCTTTTTTTAAGTTCATTAGTTTTAGGAGATATCGGAATACTTCCTGCAATTTGATTCTGAAGGTATTTGCTGACACCCTACTTCCTCATCAGACTTATCGCTTATGTCATCTGTTGATGTTGAATTATCATCATCATCTTCATAATTGGCTATGTTTCTCTTTTTATTAGGTTTTTCTTGTTTTTGATTCTTGCTTAGTTTCCTTTTTAATCTTTTCTCTTCTTGTTTGGCAAATTCTTTGTCTTCTTCAAACAATAAATTTCTATAATGTTTTATAAAAACATGTAAAAATATTTTAAAAACCCCAAACACCAAAAAAAATCATTCAGGCTTCATAAAAAAAAACAAAATGTGATTTGAGAGGTCACTAATACTTATCCTTTTTAATTGAAATTTTTACAGGATGATACAAATATAAAACCACGCCATATAAGCCCCTATGCATTGTTTTTTTTTAAATTTTTTTTTTGAAACAGTCTAATATGTAGCCACATTGCTGAAACTCAGTTTTTTTCTAGTTTTTTCATTAAGGGGTTGAAGCAGAAGTTTAAGAGCAATGGAGAGACAAGATTGCCTTAGAGCAAACCTCGTTTGACCGAGATGGGCAGAGTCAATTGATCGCAACCAGAAACTGTAATTGTGTAGTTGGCATATATAAATCTAATTAAACTTTTTATTTAAAGCGGGATATGACGGTGATACATGATTGATGAGATTAGGCCGTGACTGATTTCACCAAAGGCATTTCGCAAATCCAGAAGTGTGATGATCATTGTTCTCTGGTGCCTTTTTGCATCGTTGATTATGGGAGTTAAGAGCTGTGTGTGTTCAGTCGGGCCATATATGTTTGGGTAAAATCCTTTTTGTATGTTTTTGTTGATCATGTTAACAACAACAACAACAGTAATAACAATACAGTCCACGTTTTTTTGAATGTTTTTAAACCATCAAATAGAAATTCAATAAGAAGTTTATTCATGATAGTAGAAGCGTCATAAAAGTCATGTTTTTGTTGTAAGTTTTACCAAAACCGATAAAATACAAAATCAACAAGTGTTTATTACTTTGATGCTTTCTAATTAAAACTATTCCTTATTGGCTCGGCTCATCAAATAGTGCTTTACATTAAACGCCATGATTAATTTGCGTACTATTTTTTAAATGATAAAATTGTTGGTTTTTATGCAGGTTTTTATATTTGTGCAAAATATGTTTCGGATAGGCGGTGTGATGGCTTAGAGGTTAAGGTCGCCTGGCGCTGTTTCGCAGTGACCGAGTTCGATTCGATTATATGGCAAAAAGATCCCCGCCTATCACATGCTTTGTGTGTGATGCGTCGTTTAGCAGTTACTCATACACACTGTTTGTGTTTTGATTTTTTTGAACCCAGGAAGAGTGTAACAGACCTCTAAACTTTTTTTTAAAAGTTTAACGACAGGCCAGATGTTCCAGGTAAGTGTTAAGCAATTTCCATCTATGTAAATGGTTACCTGTTATGTAGCTACTGAATAGTTGTGAACAAAATTCATGAATAAAAGTGTGAGTGTATGTAAAGAAATTAAACTGAAAACTATCTAAGCTAAATAAACATGCAGTTACATCGTAACAGACAATTATTGTTTTTAGTTTAAATTGAAAGTTTTGAGAGGGCTGTTTAAAATCACTCATAACAAATTTTACGTAATTTAGATTTTAATTTCTTTAAACTTCTTTTGCATTTATTTAGATGCAGAAAACTCAAGAACTTGCTTGAGTTGAAATCTGATAAAAAGTCATACACGTAAATTATTTTTTAGATCAGATTGATAAATCAGTGGAATAAGCATAACTACGTCGGCCGCTTGAAACGGTCTTCGATTTGTTGCTTTCTTAAGTTTTTAATTAGCACTAATATTTTTTTAATTGATACGGTCAGTTGTTTTTTTTTTCAATGAACAAAATTGTTAAATTTCTAGCCGCAAATCACCCATTTTAGAATGTAGGTAGTTTTTGGCCAGCTTCAACGTGAAAAAGTTTTGAAGCTTTGAATTTTTTTTCTCAACAAGAAATTGTTCTCCATAATTATCTACAAAACCATTTACTTGGCAAACAGAACAGCAATTTCGTTTAAAAGATTAGATGGTATCGACCAAGAAAACTTATTTGCAATTTTATGCAGTTGATCAAAATGTGTTTTTATTGCTTCAATAATTTTGTCTAGCGACAAAGTTTGTCCTCTAGGGATAATCCTACATCTAGTGAATTTTCTCCATTGATAGTTTACATTATTCCAATGCGTAGAGTAGAGATTTTTCGCTTTTCACAAATATTTTTGACTGCAATCAGCAATTACGTATCTAATTATTTGACTTGTTTAATCTTTGGGTTCAATATCTGAAGTACTGTCCAGAATCATAAAAAAATGTTTAACTATCTTGATGTTTAAGATGTTTTTCTTAATTTCGTTTTTTAGTGTGCTACAAATTCGTTTTGAATTGCTGGTCATAAGTTGGTGATAATATGCTTATTCTTAGTAAAATATACAATGAAAAAGACTAAAAAGCTATTGAAACAGCAATTGAAATAAAAAATATCTAAACCTTCAGGCTGGTCCGAAAATATGGAAAAACTGAAATCATTTCTTGATGATAAAACATTGAAATAAGAAGGAATCTCAACCGGTGGTAAAACAGTTGGATAGGTTCTAGGAGGCTGCAATGTGGAAATAAAACGACTTTCCGCTGATTTTGTTTTATCTGGATTTGTTTCTTTTGCCGAACGAAGTATTCTTGACCGTCCAGCGTTTAAATATTTTGCAGACCTTTTCTTCTTTAATTTGTGTAGTGCTGTCATTTTAGAAATTTATACATATATATATATATATATATATATATATATATTATTATTCGAAAATTTGTATAGCGCTAATTACAAACAAAATGTTTCTCAAAAGCACTATCTAAAAAAAAACAGTTGAATTGCTACGATAAACCAAATTTTATAATGAAAACACAAATGATTTCAATAATTTCTTGAACGATTTTTCTGTCAGTTCGGGCTGTCTTAGATAACTTGGTAGACTATTCCAAACGACTGGTCCACTTACTGAGAAACTTCTCTCCGCCATTTTCAATCAGTTGTTGATGTAATTGCCCCACTGCATTACGTTAAGTCCAATGATACCCACATTGCTCCCTGGTTTAATGATCAATGTAGACGTATGAAAAGAGCTTGCCGTAAATTGGAAAAAGCATATCGAAAAAACCCTAACGATGTCAATAAAATTGCCTGAAAAAGGCTCTGTTTTCAAAAAATTCTGTTTACAATGAATCAAAAAATTTGTATTTCAAAAACTTGATCCTTGTTCATAAATTTAGTCCTAAAAAATTGTGGGCAACCATTAATATATTATTAGGTAAATCTTCCACCAATTATTCAGTCAATGAATCTAATATAAAGTTTACCCTATCACAATTTGCAACATTTTTTAGTGATAAGATCAAAAAAGTTAGAAAACATACAAATTCCCTGCTTGAGCCATCCCAGTGCTCCTAGTGACTGACTCGTTCTGTTTTTTTATTCCATGTTCTGGTGATGAAATTAAGAAAGTTGTGCTCAGTTCACCATTAAAGACATTTTTCTATGACATTATTCCTGTGCGTATTTTCAAACAATATATAGATTTTTTCATACCGTTTCTCACATTTTTTATCAATTTGTGTTTTGATACTGGTTATTTTTCTAAGGCGTTAAAACATACCGTTGTGACTTTTTTATTAAAAAAACCATCTCTTGATATAGATGATATTGCAAATTATCGCCTGATTTCAAACCTCTTGTTTTTATCAAAAGTCGTTGAACGTTTAGTTCTAAAATAATTTTGAAATCATTTGAATGTGCATGGTTTAATTCCAATCCATCAGTCTGGTTACAGACAGTATCACTCTACTGAAACTGCTCTGATCGATATTTCTTCTGAATTGTTTGCATCTATAGATTCACAAAATGTTTCACTTATGGCTTTATTAGATTTGAGCGCTGCGTTTGACTGCGTCGAACAATCAATCCTTGTTCATAAACTTAAATGTCGTTTTGGTGTTGCCGGTGCGGTTGCTTCATGGTTCGAGTCCTATTTGATTGGTAGGACGCAACAGGTTTGTTTCAATAATTTTCTGTCCAATGTCGAAGTTGTTATTTCCGGTGTGCCCCAAGGTTCTGTTTTAGGGCCTCTTTTGTTTATATTGTACACGGCCGATGTTTTTCCTATTATTGAAAAATATGGTTTTAGATACCATGCCTTTGCGAATGATTCGCAAATAATTGGTTACGGTAGCACAGAACCGGGTTTTGATGCGATGGTTGATAAATTTTTACGTTTTTTTAATGAATTAAGTGAATGAATGGTAAATAATAAACTAAAACTAAACGAAAACAAAACACAAATTCTGCCTGTCGGTACTTGGCAGCAATTAAAAAAGATTAATATTAACTCCATCAACATCGGTGGTTCTGTTGTTGAGTTCTGCACTTCTGTTAAAAATCTGGGCGTTGTATTTGATACTGCAATGTCAATGGATCAACATACAAAGTCATTGGTTAAAGATTGTTGCTATAAACTTCGCAAACTCAGGCAAGTAAAAAATATCAGTCAATAACGATACCTTGAAATGTTTGGTTCACGCATTCATTCATTTATTCAAAATTGGATTACTGCAACAGCATTTCTTACGGAGTTTCAAATCAATTGATTAATCATCTTCAATCAATTCAAAATCGTGCTGCTAAGATCATTTCCGGAGGGTTAAAATACGACCATATCAGTAATACTATACGAGATCTCCATTGGCTTACAATTAAAAAAAGAACATCTTCCAGCTTGCCGTTATGGTTTTCAAATGTTTAAATGGTTTAAGCCCAAGCTACTTGTCCGGAAGGTGTTTATACAAAACGAAAACTATTCATCACTTGCAATTACGCTCAGATGATCAGTTATTTTTATCGGTGCCAAAAACAAATTTGATGGTGGCCAATAGGAATTTCGCCGTTGCTGGTCCACAAATTTGGAACTCACTACCATACAGCCTCCGTCAACCTGATTTAACTATTCAGAAGTTTCGCAAAGATTTGAAGACCTATCTTTTTTCCCGATGATTTCACCAGACGAAAGCAGCGCCTTTGAGTTGATTAAAGGGCGCTATATAAATTCTCTAATAATTATATATATATATATATATATATATTGGGTTTAGACTATCATAAATCCATATATATATATATATATATATATTCTCTCTCTCTCTCTCTCTCTATATATATATATATATATATATTCGTTGTTAGATGTTAATCAGATTCGGTAAAAATGGATTTTGCGATTCTTAGGATTCTTAGTGCTGTCGATTGTTGTATAAAATTTTTGTATTGTTATCCAGAAGGTTCATAGTTATTGGGGTATTGTGAAAAGTTTCTAGATGGTTTTTATTGCAACGTCTCTTTCTCTTCTGTGCATAGTGAGTCTAAGCGATAGTGTTGTGGTAGTCATCCCTATATAGGAAGACGCGCACAGTCGTCAAGAGGACAAGAAAATTTATATATGAGTTGACTGCGTTTCAAAAGGGAAGTGTTGTGAGGTAGGCAATTATTCAAAATTAAAAGGTTAGATGTTTTGTAGTTTTTGTAAAAAAAAATCAATAATTTTAATCTTATTGTTCTGGTTAGTTGGTTTAATATTATTATGGATTATTTTCTTCATGATCTTTTTATCAGTTTTGTAGGACGAAGACATGAAATTTCAATAGTATAGTATAATTGTGTTATTATTATTACTGTTATTGTTGTTGTTGTTATTATCATTATCGTTGTTGTTAATGTTGTTGTAACTGTTAATATAATTGCCGTTGTTGTTATTGTTGTTAATGTAATTACCTTGCAGTTATTGTTGTTAATGTTATTACCAATATTGTTGTTATTATTATTATTGCCTTAATGGTTATTGTTGATATTGGTGACAATATTGTTATTATTGTTGTTTTGTTACATATGTTGTAACTTTTTATTGATGACATTTTTAATTAGATCTGCGCCGTAATTATTACTTGTCAGAAAATTTGTGACAAGTTAGATTTCTGATGAAACGTCGTCTGGGGATGAGGAGTGTTTGAAGGCGCGGTTGATGAATGATCTTACGGTACTCAATTTATATTCATCAGTACATTCACTATTTCCGTTTAAGCATATTCCTTTATGAGGATTATTCCTTCCTACATAGAGATGACTACAACAAAACTATCGCTTAGATTCACTATGCACGAAAGAGACGGTGCAATTAAAAAACATTTACACAACACTCAAATAACTAGGAACCTTTGATACAACAATCAACAGCACTACAACTGATCTGTCCGAGCCAGTGCGACTTGACGTCTTGCATAGTTGTTCTTTTCACGGAAAATTTTGTGGTCATCAACAGACTTTGATTTTTGCCATTGCTTGTATGCAGCTTTCTTTTCAGCTATTGCATTTTGTACATTGTCATTCCACCACCACGTGTCCCGTTCATGCTGGCGTTTTGTACCAGTTTTCCCACAAACTGTAGTTGCAGCTTTTATCAAAACGGTTTTGTATGTACTCCAATCTGTACTGGATTGCGATTGGTGGTCTAACTGTTGNAGACAATCTGTTAAAATTTTTCTCGATGAACATTGCTTTTCAGCTTCCAGGTTTTGATTTCCAAAAGATTTCCATCGGGTCTCCTGAAGGCAGCAGATGATGATGACGATAACAATAATAATGATAATAACAACAAAACTTTCCACAACAACAGCAATAACAATAATAATAACCACAATAATGATAATGATACTATTAATAATAAAAACAATAATAATAACAATAATAAATTGAATTAATTTCGCGCCTCATAATTTTGACGCTTTTTTTGCCGCGTTGACAACTATCGTTCAAAAAATTTTTTTAATTTTTCGTTGTTAATATTTTCCATTAGAATTTTATGTTTCTTTTCAACACAAAAGAATTTAAAAAACCAACTTAGTGCAATTAAGTGGACAATATTGCAAACTAAGGAGTTTATTAGGTAATTTACAGAAACTTTGTGGATTCTAGTCGTCACTTTGTTTCTTTTGTTCGGCAAGGTACAGTACGTCTCTATCGACCAAAATGTGTTTCTGTGAATTACTAAAAAACATTTTAGTTTGCAAAATTGTCTACTAAAATAGTATAGTAATTGCACTAAATTAGTGTTTTAACTTTCCCACAGAAAGTTGTTGATGGTTTTGAAAAAATGGTAATTTTTTTGATGAGAGCTCTGTTTATTATGGTAAGGCAAAATTTTGTTACTCTGCGCGTTTAGTGTTTTAGCTGTTTTACTACGTCTGGTGTCATCGTGGAGAATGATAAAAATCTTTCGATTAACCTATGCGGGCGCATTTGACTCAATTTTTGGTGCACCTCATTAAATTGTTGGCAATACATCTTTACGTAAACTGTATGACCAAGTTTTAAAAAACTTTGATGAAGTTAATACCACAGCAGACCACTAAATAACCTTTAGCTTTTTACAATTTCGGTTTTAAAAAGTGTTTTGGGCTATCATCTTGGTCCAGCCACTAAAAGAACGCCGTCTATTGTTATAATATCTGTTCTTCATTGCAAGTCAATTTTATTGTTTTATTAGGCAAAATAATTTTATCGGACATCTCAAAAAAGCGTAGTTTCTCAATTTCATACAACTCATGTGATATCTATTTATGGAGTTATTTGATCTTATTAATTTGTTTTAAATGACGAACTACTGAGTTACTTGAGTTTTTCAGCAACTTCTTGAGTAGTTTATGCTGGGCTTGTTTCAGTAATTGACTTCAGGTCATCATCATCAATCTAGCCTAGTTGTCCGCGATCTCTTTATCCTCGAGGATCATATCACCAGCACAAAATTTTTCCTTATACTTCCACTATACTACTAGTTGCATCAGTCGCGTTTTACCCGAGTTTAAACTCATGAAGTAAAATAATTCTAAAATAACTTTGGCTTTTTTAAATATCTCTTGAAAACACTTACAATAGAATTTTTAACTGAATGTTTAATATAATCTAGATAGAGAAATAAATAACCATTACAATGATATATAATTATCAATATATCAAATGAAATTATTTCAAAAACTGTGTCGAAATATTGAATAACGTAAAACCACATTATTTTCGCACTAACCTAATAATATTAACGAGCGACGTATGTAAAAGGAATGTGACTAAGTAAAGAAAGGATGTGGTTAGTCAAGCGGTTTAAAATTTTGCATGTTAAAAAGATGAAAGGTGATAACATATAATCTTGAAAGAAATTTTATGGGAAATGTGAAACAATAGGAAAAGCATTACAAAATCACAAATACACATAACAAGTCATAAAAGTATGGATACGACACTATTTCATTACATACATAGATTTAATAATAAAAATATTTAAAGTTCGAAATCATACATCTTTCAGGAATAGCCCTTTTAACCAAAATAGTGTTAGTGTTTTCATCATTTCCAAATGTATCCAGTTCCCACTGCGATTTAGTTTTGTTCAAAAAGTTGATAAACTTCACATTGTTTTCCTTAATCTCATAAGCCGTCTGACCTGGCGCGTTGTATGTACCGTTCTGTATCATATTGTTTTTGCCGTTAACATTTAATTGCGAACTCATCATAACCCTTTCCACATCAAACATGTCAAAATATTCGTCCTGGGGATATTCTTCCTCCCAAGGCAATTTCGGTATTAAATTTTTGGTCAAGAACTGAGGCTTTTTGCAAAGAATAACAACAAATAACAAAAATGAAAAAATAAATTTTAGACCAATGAACTCCATGACCAGACTACTTTTATGTTTCCAGTTAAGTGCTGAAATATTTTAGAAAAATCAATTTCAATAAAACCAGTTAGTGTTCATTTGGGTAAAATTAATCTTTTAAATGTTTTTCTAATAACATTTATTGGTATTGCAAAAATTTGTTAATATTCGCTAATAGGAATAAATAAATGATCAATCAAACAATGTAAAATTTTTCGGTGAGAAATATTTTGAAGCGGCTGTAAAGCTATGTCTCAGAGATACATGGAAAAGCTTAAGAAAGTATTGACAACCATCTATTGAATATAAAAATTAATGTTTTCACTGGTTGTAATATTTTGTTTTTATTTGGTGAAACAAATAAATGACAGTTTGGCCAGAGATTGGTGAATTAATTATTTTAACCTTTTGTGATACTTTACCTTGAGTACAATAGATTATTGAGTTTGAAACCAATTTAATTACCTGATAAAATTTTAAACAAAACTTTGCATATAAATTTGTATAACTGACTTGCTCAAAACTGTAATCATCAGAAGTTTGAATGCTTGTTTTTGTTTTTAATAAGACAGCACTGATAAGGACAGAGCTGTTTGTATATCATCCCTTCTAAGGCGCTCAGCTTGTTGAATATAATTAATACAAAGTAGTCTTTATATATAATTTGCTCTTTATTAGCGCAAAGCTATTTTCATGTCATTACGCTCTCTTTTTGTGTTTAGTACCACAAAAATTATTTCCGTTACTGTCTGACTGGAAAAACATGTCTGAAATTGAACCTTGGATTTTAGTTTGAATCTTTGATTTCAGTTTAAGTCCAAAGTGTAATTAAAATTCCAACTATATTGAATTTTCGATGAAAGAACTAAAACATTTTATATAAATACTCCTTGAAATGATTTTAATATTGCATTTTTTATCATAATATCCTACTTAACATGGCTAATCACTCTCCCTAACACGTGTTAACAAAAATGATTTAGAAATATTTATTGAGTAGTCTTATAATTTCTATACAAAATAACAGGTTTTAAAAGTCGAAAAAACAGAAATATTATTGAAATACGTAAAACATGTTTTGAGTTTCAGCAAAACTAACATACGGACATTTATCTGTATAAATCATAAGAGATTGAAGAATGAAGTTAGTGGAAACCACAAAAAACCTGGCTTTTTTGGTAGAAATAAGGCTAACTATAGAACAGACAGACGTATAGTTGTATGGTCTTAAATCGTAGTCCCTCGGGCCCGCAAAATGCTTAGCCCCCCAAAATTTGTTATAGAAATTGAATATTTTTTTAGTTATAATTTTAAATATTTTCTAAATTTTTCATACTAATTTTCATATTTATTTCTTGAGATTTGTAAACCGTAGTTTAAACAAAAATAGTGAAGTATCTTTGCTATCCTTCTATCTTTGATTTAAGTTAACTTTTCACTGTGTGTGTTTGATAAGCAGACTAAAATTTGATACCATTTTAAAAATAAATTTAAAATCATTCTTTAATTGGTTTAAATTTTAAAATGAAACGTCGACAAACTACAATTGATTTTTTAAGTCTGTTGCAAAAAATATGGCAAATAAATTCAAACTGATGCAAATAATTTATTTAATAAAAAAAAAATTTTAAATAACATGAGACTATTTTATTTATAAATACTAAATTGCAAAATGGTAAGATGGATCAATAATTAATTTAGAGAAGATAAAAATTATTACTAGGTAAGGTAGATTAGAGGCCCAGCGCCCCAGCCTAGCACTGGACTTCAGAGTAGAAAAAGTAACTTAACAATTCTAATTAAAATTAATTGTTATAAATGTTATGAATACAACAATTGTTATAAATGTTATGAATACAACAATTGTTATAAATGTTATGAATACAACGATTTTTTAATTTGAGATGAGAAATCACTGGGTTGGATTTATGATGAAAATAAATGATCCTTCATTTGCTCTTTTAATTCTTCAATAATTAAATTAATTAAACTGCTTAAACTCAAAATTAATTAATGTTTACTTTTTTTTAAAAAATTTAACTTTGTTGGTTATATTAATTGTGAATAAATTATTATGTTTTCAATTGCTAAAATTTATCAAATGTAAAATTTATTAAAACAATGAAACACTAACGACTTAATAATTTTTAGCAGACTATTGAATTGAAGGTTGCAAGTTCTTCCAGAAATATCAATGACATCACCGAGTTAGCAAGTTCTTCAAAAAATATAAATGACTATGACATCACAGAAGAGATAATTGACGAAACCAGTAACATAACAATACAAAAACTTCTAAAAATTTTTAGTTTGGAATCAGAAAAAAGGAAAGAAAATTGCAATCTTATTGGAAGAAGAAACATACTTGGTTAAAATATGAGCCTGTTGAAGATAAGATATTTTGTAAAATATGTCAACAATGTGATGACCTTAGTCTCTTTCAATTTTCAAGATATTAGTAGGTTTACAAAAGCAAATTCGAGATATACAGCTAAAGGCTTTTCATATTCATTGTTTGGCTCTTTCTTCAAGTTTATTGTTTCAAGATGCCTTGAATCAAATTAAGGAATGTAGAGATGCAATAAATCTTGTTAAAGATCTTATCAATTTTTTCAGAGAATCGCCAAAACGGCTGTCATGGTTTTCTACATTACAAGCTAAAATAGCACTTCTCTCAGACCTCTGTGTCCAACTAGATGGACAATGAGAGCATCTAGCATTTCATCAACAACAACAACACACGTTTAGACGACATTTTCCCAGAGATCGGGGGTTGCCGTTTGGCTACCTATGATGAAACCGAAATACCCCTCGACGCCATTCCATCATAAGTAATTTATTTGGCTAATTTTTACGCAGGACGCCCTTCCTTACGCAACCACAGTTATAAGCGGTGGGCCTAGCCTTTGATGATCCAACATCACTCACAAGGCAGTGAGGGTCAGTTTAATGTCATAACCAGGACATAGCATCACTACTAGATAATTATCCAGCATTGATTTTGTTTTTTAAAGAGGCGTCAGAACAAAATACAGGTATTAAAACAATTTTTTTTTTAAATTTATTTAAATTATTTTTAGTTTACCTTACAACTAGTCCAATATCTGTAATTTGTGTTAATTATGTTAATGTTAAATTATGTTAATGTTAATCCATAATATTCATAATAACATTTTATTATTAATTATTGATAATTAGATTTTTTGCTTATGTAATGCATTTTGTGAATTCAATAAACAAATTTTTTTGATTTAGAATTAAGAAGTTTGGAATCTTTTGATGCTTTTTTTGCCCCGAAGCTGACAAATTTTATTTTTAATTCAAGTGAAACAGTGGCCCTGTCATTACAACCTTTTTCAATCAATCTTTCATTAGCTCAAAAGCAGATCTCATGATAATTTGGAGAAGCCAACGTGAAGACACAAGACTTTTGGCATGAAGTAACTTTTAAAGCGGTAAAAAATAATATAGAAGCACTATCATTGCCGCGCATAAGACGTGCCCCGAAAAAATGGTCGAAAGTGCACAACCTTATAAACCTTCTGATCTAAAGGAGTATTTTAAAAGAATTTATATTCACAGATCGTCGAATCTCATTACCAAATTGTGTATCAGTTCTGTGTTTCCTTAATTTATTTTATACTTCATTTCTCTCTCTTTCTTTCTCTCTCTCTCTCTTTCTCTCTCTCTCTATATATATATATATATATTCATATTCACAATTGGTATTATATATATATATATAAAAGTGTGTGTGCGTGTGTTGTGTGTGTTTGTAAATTTTTAATTTAATTTTTATTATACATTTAATTTATATTTCTTTAAAATATTGTTAGTGCAGTCCTTTTTTGAAATTATTAATTATATTGTAATGACGTGTAAGTTAATAAAGCGTCCTAGGCGTAAACTCTGGAGCTCTCAACACGACAAATTTACAAATTGTTTTTTTTTCAATTTTTTAGTCCAGGGCATGACATATAGTCCTGGGCATGACATATAGTCCTGGGCATGACATATAGTCCTGGGCATGACATATAGTCCTGGGCATGACATATAGTCCTGGGCATGACATAAAACTGCATCCACGCTGCCTTGCTTGCTTTTATTTTCACAAAAAAAAACAACGGCCCCTAGTTCCCAGCAGGCCTTAAGTGGTCATAGGGTGCCAAGAATCCATGGAAAGTATGCAATAGCGGAGAGATGCTGCAGCAAAATTCAGAATGGCCCCTCTATGGTACTTAGACTTGGAACGCTCAATGTTGGATCACTGACTAGTCGCAGCATGGAAACTGCAGAAATGCTCGAGCGTAAAAGGATTGACATCTGCTGCCTTCAGGAGACCCGATGGAAATCGAATGGTGTCTGTCATATCAACCCAGACAATGAAAAATATAAACTATTCTGGAATGGTCAAAAGACGGCCAAAAATGGTGTTGGAATTTTTTTCAAAGAACCGCTAGCCCAGGAAGTACTGGACATTAAAAGGATTAACTCACGTCTCATGTGGATCAAGATTCGTCTAGAAAAGCAAACAATGACTATTTTTTCTGCATACGCACCACAGACAGGCAAATCAGACTTGAAAAATGACTTCTGGGCTGCGTTCTCTGACACCATCTGACACAATACCAAAATCTGAAACAATCCTGATTGGAGACGATCTCAATGGCCACGTTAGAGAAAAAAACAGATGGTTTTAACAAAAGACATGGCGGTTTTGGCTTTAGAGAACGGAATGAAGATGGCAACCGCATCCTTGAGTTTGCTGAAAGTCACGGGCTTTGTTTACTGAACACATATTTTAGAAAGAGGCTGGAACATCTCATAACATAATAAAGTGGAAATCAGCCACGCGAATTGATTTCTTCGCTGTCAAGCAACAGCACCGAAGACTATTAAAAATGCAATAGCTGAAAAGAAAGCTGCATACAAGCAATAGCAAAAATCAAAGTCTGTTGATGACCACAAAATTTTCCGTGAGAAGAACAACTAAGCAAAACGACAAAAATGAGATGGTTCTTGAACAAGATGAGATCAAGCTACAGTGAAGAGAATATTTCAACCGTCTGTTAAATGAAACAAATCCAATCAATATCAACTTTGACGCTCCACCCATCGAAGGCCTGATTCCAGACATCACTGTAGAGGAGCTTACAGAAGCTCTGAAAGCTATGAAGGATGGAAAGGCAGCAGGGCGCTCTGGACTCACAAATGACACTATCCAAACGTTACTACAACTTTGCCGTGAAGTGTGGAGAAATTGCTCAATACCGACTGAATGGAACTATAGCATGACAGTTCCGCTATACAAAGGCAAAGATGATCCATTGAACTGTTCATCATATCAGGGTATACGTCTGTTAGAACACTCCTGAAAATTGTCGAGAAAATCATTGAGAGAAGATTAACGTCGTGCATCACAATCGGAAATTATCAATTTGGTTTCCTAGCAGGGAAATTAACAATTGATGCAATTCACATCCTTCGACAACTGCAAGAGAAGTACCATGCAAAGCATCAACAACTATCACACATTTTTTGTAGACCTTGGAAAAGCATTTGATCGAATTCCCCGTGAAGCAATCAGGTGGAATCTACGTCGAAACTCATTCCAGAATATCTTGTTCGACTTGTGATGGAAATGTATACGAATACTAAGACTCTCGTCAGCACAACAGTTGGAAACACAGATGCATTTGACATCGGCGTTGGAGTTCACCAAGGCTCGATTCTTAGTCCACTGTTATTTATAACTGTGATGGAAGAAATCACAAAACCGATACGCACTGGTGACATTTGTAATCTAACATATGCTAATGATATCGTTTTAACAGCCACTTCTGAGCAGAATGCAGCACAGATGTTTGAAGATTGGATCACCAGACTCGCCGATCATGGATTCAAAGTCAACATCAGCAAAACCAAAGCAATGAACACTGGTGATCCAATCCACAGTTACCGGACGATGGCTCTGTTCAGTTTGTAAAGCTGCTGTAGGTAACAATTCAATCAAGTGTCAGCAGTGTAACCAGTGGTTTCACAAACGTTGTTCAAAAATAATTGGTACTTTATGTTAAATTTCTTGTCACGTAGATCGTTTAATTAATTGATATAATATTGAAAGACATTAGAAGAAGAGAAATAAACTAAGCAACGTTCTCGACTTGTTTATTATCCACCGGATCAACAGAAAAGGAAAAAGTGAAGTTACATACAAAGCAAAGAACATTTGGTCCAAAGAAAAATAAATGTATATTATAAATCATAATGTTTTATGAAACATAAAACTTAACACCTTCTCATTTTATTTAAAACATTAGATGACCTTAACCTAAATGTTCTGAAAACCCATCGCACACATCAGATTCTTTAGTTTTGGTCCTACCATTGGTTTTGTCAGGGCATCAGCAACTTGAAGTTCTGTCGCAACTCGTTCAACTGAAACTTCTTCTTCTGCAACTTTTTCTCTGACAAAGAAATGTCTAATGTGGATATGCTTTGTTCTTCTGTGAAGTTCTGGATTGTGTGCTAAACGAATTGCTGCTTCATTGTCGACAAAAATTTCTGGCTTTTTCTTTAGATCTACAATGTCATTCAACAATCGTTTGAGCCATATCACTTCACGAGCTGCTTCACTTGCGGCAACGATTTCTGCTTCAGTAGTTGAAATCGCAACTAAGGGTTGAAGTTGGCCTAAGGGTTGAAGTTGGCTAAACCAACTGATCACGCTTCCTCCAAACATACAGATTACACCTGATGTCGATCTTCCACTAGATTTATCTCCTCCATGATCTGCATCACTGTAGGCTATAAGTGTATTGTTTTGACCAGACTTGTAAACAATACCGACATCAGCTGTGCCTTGCAAATATCTGAAAATTTGCTTGACTTGTGCTACATTAGACTTGCTGGGTTTCTCCAAACTTCTGGATGCTACTCCAACTGCATATGCAATATCTGGTCTTGTTCCCGTCATCGAGTACATCAATGCACCAACTGCTGATCTGTAAGGAAATTTCACTTCCTCATGTTCATTTTTGTTTTCATTGAACTCCTCAGATTTTGTAATCGGAGTTGTACAGAATTTACACTGACTCATCTCAAATTTTTCAAGAATCATTCTTGTATACGATGACTGACTGACATTAATATTTCCCTTCTCATCTTGATTAATCTCTAATCCAAGGAAATATGTTGCAGGTTTAGATGTTATCTTGAACTCTGACATTAATTCTTTTTCAAATATTTTTAGTTCTTCTTTATCGGTTCCTGCAACTAGTCCATCATCAACATACAGTGCAAGTATGAGTTTCTTTCCTCCCTGTATTCTAATGAACAAAGAAGTATCTGCATCGCTTTGTTTGAAATGTCTCTTTTTCAAGAATTCAGCAAAGCGTTTGTTCCAACATCTTGGAGCTTTTAAGTCCATAGAGACTTCGCTTGAGTTTACAGACTCTTCCTGAATTATCTTTAAAACCTTCAGGTTGCTCCATGTAAATATCTTCATCTAGTTTGCTGTATAGAAATGCTGTTGACACAACAAACTGCATGAGTGACATCTTTTCATTTGCAGCAACACTTAATAGTATTCTTATAGTTGAACTTCTGACCACAGGACTATAGGTTTCTTCATAGTCAATTCCCTTTTTCTGAGAAAAACCTTTTACCACTAGCCTGGCTTTAAAACGTTCAACAGAACCATCTGGATTGTGTTTTACCTTGTAGACCCATTTGCATGGTATTGCCTTATGACCTTTTGGAAGACTTACCAAATCCCACGTTTGATTTTCCTTTAGTGACTGCATTTCACTGTTCATGGCTTTAAACCATTCATCTTTTTCATCACTTTGAATGGCTCTTTGTAGCTCTCTGGTTCAAGTACTTCACATAATGGAGACATAACGAAAGGATCATAACGAGATGGCTTTGTGATATTATTGCTGTCATATAAAACCATACCTTTGGTCTTTTGATTACAACAGTCAGATTGATCTTCTTCATCAGATGAAACTAAACTACGGTTGTGAACATCTTCATCTTCATCAGTTGAAATTTTTCTTTAATCAAAGTTTCTTTATTTTCATCTTTGATTTCAACATCAATCGAAACTGTATCATCTGAACAACTTTCTTATTGCAAAATCACTGAATTTGGTTTGACAACCTTCTCATCAAAAATAACATCTCTTGATCGATGCATTTTAACACGTTTCTTATTCTGATGTCCCATTCGTTCATGGTATAACTGCAATGCATCTTGATCATTGACAAAGTTAACTTCGACTTCAGAATTCAACGGTCTAACAGTTTTTGCAACAAGCTTGAACAAACCTCTATTGTTGTTTCTTATTCCAACAACATTTATCACATTGTCAATAAGTAGATGACAACTTCTTGAGGTTGAAACAAAAGAGCTATTTCTGTTTTTATCTTGAGTTGCAAGTACTGAGAACAAATTTCTTTTTACTTTTGGCACATACAAGACATCTGTAAGTTTAACAGTTTGCCATTTATTATTCACTTTCGCTTGAAGATGAATAATTCCTTTTCCAAAAGCTTCTACAGTATCATCATTTGCAACATATAATTTACTCGGTTGAGAAAATTTTTCAAAACTTTGAAATATGTCTCTTCGGAAAGTTAGATGACACGTTGCACCATTGTCAAAAAACCATTCATCAGTGTACGCTGACTCATCAATTGCAAAAACACTTGATTCCATAACAACTAGTGACTTATTGTCATTGCGTAGATTGTTATTTCTTGGTTTTGGTGGTCTACCATCAGAATGCCATTTTTCACAATTTCTTACAATGTGACCTGGCAATTTGCAATAATGACATATCAGTCGCTTTGATTTGCTGGCAAATTTATCTTTTTTTTGACCATTCATGTTTAGTGATGATGACCTTTTAGTTGTTGCTTTGACAAATAATACTTTATTACATTCTGTTTTGCCTTCCAAAGATCTCTCATAGCTACACAGTTGATCTGTGAGTGTTTCGACTGTTCTTTCAGTCTTGTTCAACAATCTCCAACTTGCAGCAAATGAAAAATATTTTTCTGGCAAAGTTTCAATTATTTGACACATCAGCAACAAGTCACTGTTTTCATCCATCTTTTCCTAACTCAACTTTTATAAATCTTTCCAAAGATTCTTGAGTTTTGTGACATGAGTGACAACATCATCGCTTTCATCCATTTTATAACTAAAGAACTTCATGCACAAGTTGTATGCTTTATCTTCATTAACTTCATCATACAATCTGTGAAGTTTTAACCAAACATCTCTGGCATTACTGAATGAACGAACTTTTTCATACGTTTCATCGGTCATGTTGGTTGACAGAATAATCATAGCACTACAATCTGCTTTATTGAATCTGTTCAAAGCAGTTTGATATTTTGCTATCTCATCTTTATTTGAGTCATCGTTTAATTCATCTGGAACTTTTAATTTGCCATTTACTACGTCCATTGCATCAGGAATGCCGCGTAGTATTATACAAATTCTCGACTTCCAGTTCAACCAATTACTTTTGCCTTCTAGGTGTTTGATTTGCACTTTTGTTAGATCCATTTCTTCCTTGTCTTTCAATTTGACCTTTTAATTAGAAGCAAAATATCGAATTTCAGAGAATGAAGAAGCACGTGCTTTCTCTTCACTTCAGTCTTCACAAAAGAATCTTCCGATATTTCTTTATTCTAAATTTTCTTCGTCAAATCAATTAATTAAGAAAAACGTTATCTGGGTCCCATAACCTGTTAAATTTCTTGTCACGTAGATCGTTTA